AATGTCTGCAGCTGGACTTTGTCTTTATTGTCTAATCCGATGAATATTTTCTTCTTTAATGTTTGAAAATTACACAAATGCTCGTAATGATTTTGCAGAAGGAACCACAGAGGAGCAAACGAAGGCGCTTATGTAACCCTGTGTGATTACAAGTCAGGGCTTCAGAGTCTCGTGTAGTTTTAAAATAAATTACAGCATTTATCAGAGACAGAAAACGTAAAATCAGAACGAATCGTCAGGAATTTGAACTTTCCCACTGTCCCTGAACTTCTCATCAGTTGAACTAAACCTGGAGCTTCAGCTGTTCGACTGCATCTGATTCTAGTTTTAGTTTTTTGAGTTTAACAGCCAAAGAACTCTGATGAGAAGCAGCACAGAGTCGGCAGCTGAACCTCCTGAATCCTAAACCAGGTTTGAAAGCCACGTCGTCTTTAGCCAATCGTCAGAAACCGTAAAAACAGCGAGAATCATCCGATTTGTCACCTTTTATCTGAACTACTCGTCTGTTCGGTTTAGAAGCTTCACCAAATCTCAGCTTAAAATCGTAACTTGTGTTGAAAGACGTGTTTTGTTTGGTTTTCTTTTATTCTGGCAGATTTATGAACTTTATCATCACAAGAAACTGTAAAAACATCCACAGTTGTGAAGTTTTAACTCTGATGGTCCATGAAACACGGCACTTCTGGTTTTGTCTGGAAAAACAACAAAATCTGAGCAAAGAAATCCTGATTTTTCATCAAAATCTATTTATTTTATTTTTCTCCTTTAAACATTTAAAACAAACAAACAAACAAACAAATAAACCATTTGCACAAACCAGATTCTGTGTATTAGGAAAAAAAATTAATTCTGACCTCAATGCAAACGCAGGAAGCAAAAATTCTGGACAAGAACTGCTGAAAGGAGACGAGTACTGGACCGGATAAAACATGTAAATATAAAAAATGGAGTTTGTTCCAGTGTTGGTCTCACCTGTGTGCTCCTAGAATAAAGTGTGCATTTTGATTTCAGTTCAGTTTTTTTTCACAGAACCTAAATTTGTTAGATTGATTCTTTTTTTAAAAAATTTTATTTTTTAAAGTCTTGCAAATTTACAACATTTATCATTGCAAGAAACCATAAAATCAGCCAAAATTGTGAAGTTTTAACACTCTGACAGTTCATGAAACTGGTTTCTTACAGAGAAAACAACCAAATGTGAGAAAAAAACAAAATAAAATCAGGATTTGTCCTTAAAATCACTTTATTCTACACGTCTCATTTTTAAAAAGTGAAAAAAAAAAAAAAACATTTGTAGGAACTAGATTCTGCAAAAATCTGAATATTCTGCGCTCCTCTGTGCAACAGTGACTCAGCTGAAGCCAGCAGAGATGTTTTCAGGTGAACTGCAGGCTGTGTTTTTATTCCACAGAGCAGAGAGGAAACAAGTAGTGAAACAAATAAAACATGTTAAAAATAGTTAAATGCAGATCGAGGAGCCTCCATTCTGTTGTTTGTAGCAGCTGTTTGCTTTTAGAAACTTGTTTTGCATCTTGATTTTATTTTATTTTTTTCAGCTTTCGTCAACTAAATAATCAAACTGTCATTTTCTATCTTCTGGTTTTCATGGTTCTGACTGAGTCCTGCTGACAGAACACGTCTCAGAGTTCTGTCTCCTCCTCCTCCATGTTCTGGTTCCACAGAGCTGCAGGACTTCATGATTGATGAAGCTGCTCGTCTGTGAGTCCGACTGCAGCTTCGTTCTTCAGGCGTCCTTTTGTTAAAGTCCACGAGACCCGACATCCGTCACGTGGCAGCAGGAGTCAGGCTCTGGCTTCTCAGGAGCAGCAGCCGACTTGTCTGAGCGTCTCAAGGACTCGTCGCTCAGGTCGACGCTCCTCAACGAGAGGCTCCAAGTCGGAAACAAAAGTAGAAGCCGAGCAGAACAAAGCGGCTCCTTCAAGGATGATAGAAATCTTTGCACAGCTTGTTGCTCAAAGCGTCTTTGTGCGGCTGTCAGATCGAGACGTCGAGCGACTCGGCGTGTTGTGTTTGTGCAGGCGGGAGGTCCGTGAAGGCAACACCGGCTTAAACATCAGCAGAGTCCCTCAGAGGGAGGCGGTGGTTACAGGATGGATGAGGATCAATGTACTCGATTACTCCGCCTGACGAGCAGGATGGAAGGAATCAGTGAAGTTTTCAGATTTTATACTGAACTCAGACAAACTGGTTTTTAATTTTTTTTTTGGCAAATAAAATGTTGGTAAAGTTGTAAAATGCTCACTTTAACTTTGCAAAGTGATCAGTTTAGAGTTTATGATAAACAAAAGCATCAAATCCTCAGAATGAGAAGCCGCAGAATGTTTCCACCTTCATGGAGACGAATAACAAACTGTGAGGAAGCTTCACTGCTGCCACGACAAACACAGAATAGTTTGTTTTCTACACAATCTACTTTGTGCAAAGAGTTTGTTTTTGGCTTTTTTTTCTTTTTTAATGAGATCAAGAATAAAGTGATTCAGATGAAACATCAGAATTTAAAGGTTCGATTTGGAACCTCGGTGGTGATTTGTTCATTAGAAAGTTGACAATCTGATGATTTCTTCAGTTCGTGTTGAACGGAGCAGCTCTGATGTTTTCTTTGTGTCTTTTGTTGACAGAAAATCTGCAGATCTGCTTTTTTTTGAGAGATAAATGATCAAAAGTAAAACTCTTAAAAGCAACTCCACTGTTATATAAATACATGAAAAGCACAGAATCACCCTTTAAACTGGAAATAAACTTTATTTTAATTCATTTCTGTTCTGTTTTATTCTACATTTTTATCTCTTACACGCTTTTATTTTTCTCATTTCTTGTTTTAATCAGCCAGTTTTGATTATTACATAAACCCGTGTCCACTTTATTCAACTTATCGGCACCGTTTCTGATTGATTTCATTCTTGTTTCATGATTTATTTCCTTTTTTTGTATTCATCTCTGTGTACGATAACGTTCTATAGACGTAAACCTGCTTATCGCAGTAAAATACGAGTGTTAGAAGAACATCCAGAGCTGGACATTTGT